AAATTAAGAAAAAAATGTGGGAAAGTACGATTTTGAGAGGTGGAGGTAGAGCGGCTTTCACTCAGAAAAAAGCGAAATAAGTTTCGACTCCCTCCAAATGCTACTACGCAAATTAATATTAATATGTGCACTTTCACAATAGGCATTTCTCGAGAACATCCCGGTAAGCAATGTGGTAAGATATGCAGGTATATAGAAAACATTGTTATGTCAAAAATGCAGTCGTATTTGTGATCAGCATACTAAATGAATGACGTTTGAGGAAAAATTTCTGCAATGTTAGAGTTTTAGTAGATGAACAGGAAAAAAAGGTGCACATTAGAAGTTCAAGTGTATACATCACATGTCCTTTGATGGCTGGAGCAAATGATGATTTGTCGGTTGCGATATGAACCACTTACAGGGACAGCTTTACTTTCTTCATCCGCCAATGCTTGCAATCAGTTGCTTGAATCACCCTACGATGCTCAAATGAAGCGCACGCAAAGTCGTGTTCTTGTTGTCCACAGGTGAAATACTGGTTTAGGGAAAGCGTCAAAACTGTTGTATTATGTACTGTTTTTAAGATTTTTTCAAGGTTCTCCCCACTTCATGCTCTTTCGTTTGCCAGTGTTGCGGCCATAACTGGTATTGCAACATTATATGTGTTGGCGAATCCATTAACTGCAGCTCTCGGGGTGGTGAACATCTTCCTTTACGCTGGCTTGTATACACCTCTCAAACGCACGCATATTGCATGCACTTGGGTCGGTGCCGTGGTAAGTCTGATAATTGTTGAAGCTTGTAGGAGTGAATCATCATCAATAGAAATTGTTTTATTTTTGCTCTTTCCGCTGTATTTGTGCTTCTTTTCTTATTCTGCAGTGCAGTTTCGAAATGTTTTGAAACATGCATTAGGATGTTCATTGTGATCAGCTCAAGGAAAGTACCTATTTGATAGGTAGGAGCAATTCCGCCACTAATGGGTTACGCCGCAGCAACCGGAACAATCGACGCATCGGCTCTCTGCCTAGCTGCTATTCTATATTCTTGGCAGTTTCCCCATTTTAATGGATTGTCGTGGAATCTTCGAGGAGACTATAGCAAGGTTGTTATTTCATTCTTACATCTTACTTTGCTTCAAAGTATTATATCGCCTTCAGTCTCTTTTTAAGCTTTTTGAGCATTAGCAGTCTTATTGTGGTAAAGTCTACCTGGACGAGAAGAAAGGCAGATTTTGACCCGCATGTTGCATCGCAATGTATTTTAACACGGCTAACTTCTATTCGAAGCAAACTGAAATAGCATGGAAGGCAAATTAATTTCTGCGTACTTGCTGATTCACAAAAAGCACCCACATACACTGCGTCCCATAGTTATAATTCCATTTAAGAGATTCCCGAAATCTCACAAATTCAGATGGTTTAGAAAAAGTCTCCAATCTCATTCTTGACTGTTGCAAAACGTAATGATCACCTTTTGTTGAGATCGCTCATCATCCACAAGCTCCTCTTCTAAGGGCAGGCAACGGGCGCTGCGTCGTCCATAATGTTCCAAGCGCACAAAACAATGGTGTGAGCAAGCCAAACCTGGACCGCACTCCTCACACATCTTCATTCTTCCAGTTTCGGGTGATTCGTCCTTGAGTCAAATATCCTAGTGTTCTTTGCGACTTGCTCTGATCAGGAACATCACTTCATTCCACAGTAACTTCTCTCTGATCAGTACTACCCCTCTTTACCTACTCCACCAAATCTCTCGTTTTGCATGGCCGCCACCTTCTTTCGCTTTCCAGATTGAAACCGGCCGCGGAATATATGAGGCGCACTTGGATGTCCGTGACGGTAAGACCTTAAACATTATTCCTGCACAGTTTCGTCGAACTCCAATTGTTGATTAGTTATGTCGATTTCTCCATTTCGTTCTTAAGTATTGCACCAGTGTACATATATGATACCAGTTTGGCTGCGCACACCACCGCTCGCATGACACGGTAGGCTTTGTTGAAACTGGTTAGCCTGCGAAACATTAGGTAACACCGCTAATGAATACAACACTAAGCCACATCGCGAAATGCCAAAGCTGACTTTTCTAGGGCTTCCCCATTTTTGCTGAAGCTCACCGTAGCGCAGAGCAAAGTAGTGGATGTATAACAACCACTATGCGTCGAATGTGAGGCTTATTTGGCGGTCGGATGATAGGTGATGCTTGGTTCTCATCTAGTATTTACGCTTGAGCGATCTATGTGTTTTTACGTAAATTGTCATTATTAGACCTTATCACGTTCTGTCCCAAAATGTGTCCGCCCCCTGTACATCAATTATGGAACCAAGCCTGCTGATCTAGGAGACTATGCGTTATTGAATTAGTAAATATGAAGTTCACTATGAAAGCTCTTGGAAAAATTAGCGTGATAGGGTGTTTCTGGAAGAGCCTTTGGAGGGAAAATGTGCTCAATATGAATAGGATTTTGAGTGTCGACACCAACTTCCATTTCTAAAACACCAATCTTTCTATTTTCATTTTTTAAAAGGGCCTTTCTACCGGTTTTGCAAAGTTATAAATTCACGCCCTGTTCCTCGGTTAAGCTTTATTCTTATTGGGTGGAAGTATCTGTGGTGACTTGGCGAAGGGTGGCGCTTTTGGTTCTTTGGAAGTATTGTGGTAGTATTTGGGAGTAGAATGTGAATATCTGGGCGTGCCTCTTGATATCAATGAGGTCACGCTCATCATGTTATGCAACAACAATCATGAAAGGAGTAGCGATATATATAGTAATTAGAGTTGCTTCAAAAGCGAATACGGGTTCTGGTGTATCACCAAAACGCTATTAGGTTAGGTTGTATCCAATTTCTTTTCTTGAGGTCACGACGAGAATAACACCGCTGTCGGGTTTAGAAAAAAAGGCAAAATCTGCGCAAGAATGAGGTGATCAGCCATGCTCGAATCACGCGTTATTTGAGCCCCATTTCTGAGGTTTTTGAGCATTTCTTCAAGAATCCTGCAACATATGGAATCCAGAAGGGACCTCCTTCGCGTTTCGGTTGCGATAAGCGTCGCCTTCAGGAAAAGTAACCGGTTCTCCTAAGAGCTCAGTGCCTCAGAAATCCAGCCTTAAATAAAATTCAATTTCTTGGAAGACTGCGTTTGGCGCGTGTTGGAGAAGCTCAAAGACCACTGTTCGACGGAAAATGGGTACGAAACATTAAAGAAACAAACTAATCGCAAAACAAAAAATTAAAAAAAAAAAAAAAAAAAAAAAATCGCAAAAATCAGGCCAATTCTCAATATCTGCAGTCGAACTGGCCCGGGCGGTTCATAGGGATTACCTGGTATCATTTACTGCAGTCTTCACTTCTTCTTATTGTTTTCCTGTTTAATATGAGTTACTCTTTCTGTCAAACACATCTGTATAGAGAAATGTGAAAAAGATAGTAGAAAGTTTCAGGCAGAATGCCGAACTCAATGAAGTTGGCTCAGCACACATTGTCAAGTTACGGTGCGGGCGATGCTCTCTCCATGTTCCCTAGTGAGACAAAAACTGTCTGTCGGACCGACTTCAAAATTTTCGCGATTCTTCCCTAGCCGTCTTTTGTTTTTTCGAACATATCGTTGTTTGACACACTCTAGCTCCACCTACAAATTGGTGTCAAACGGGGTGAAGCTCTTGAAACTGAAAATTCTAACATTCATCCGTTCCACTACATTTCTTCCTTCATGACCCTCTACAAACCTGGAGTTCGTATAACTTTCGTATCCAGAAATTACAATACGAGACCTCTCGTTAGGAAAATCCTGCTCACGGTTCACCCTGATGCCGACAGCTCGATTCGACGTCCCGCTTATTTTATTGTAAGTTCTGCGTGCAGTATTACGCAGGTCCAAGTCGAGTCAGAATATTGCTGTCTAGGTGGGTCTGCGGATTTACATGCTGTCTCCAGGATGCTTTGCTGAGCTCCAGCGAAGTTGTGAAACAGTTTATCCACGAGTCCTCTATTAACTGCGGCGGCCGCCACGTGAAATCCATAGATCCGCCTAATCGGATAGCGTGTTCACGACGTCGCGCTCAGAACTCTTAGCATACACCCTGGTAAACTGGTAAACGGCAATCGAATATCATTTTCGCACTAACTTTGCTACCAACACTCGAGCTTTCAGGCTGGATATCGTGTTATGTGCGTTACCAATGAGCGACTCTGCCGGGTTACATCGATTCGACATAGCTTGGCACTGTCTCGGCTTTGCAGTTTTGCTGCGCCATTAACGAATCTCACGACGATTACTTTCGCTTTAGGTAAGTGGCCGTGAACTTGCAAGCTGGCTGATTGTTCGTTTTGAGATTCTTGGAATCCCAAAGATTTATGTACAGTAGCGCTCAAAAGTTTCAGTGAAATAGTGTTTCGGCTCTATATTTTTTTCTGCTGGATCAAATCACTTCAAATTCATTATATTAGGCACCGAATCACTTACCATTAGTGTGGTTCTGAGTCAGGAATTTTTTGGTGCCGATCTCCATGGAAAATCAACATCTCAGTAACTTTTTGATGCGCCAATTTTAAGCTAGGCGCTCCTGTAAATGACTGCTTAAGCTCAATAGGGCAAAAGTAAATCTGCGTAAGAAGGATTGCCAGAAAGCACTGGCGATATTTTCCTACGTTTTCGCACATTAAGACAATCAATATCAGACCCAGAATCTTCCGAAATGCCTGTTTGAATATCTGTGACTACACCACATCAACAATCGCTTCTTATAAGCGTCTTTCTCGAACAGAAGTGTATTATTTTGTGTTGTGTCGTAATCAATGGATCAATGTTGATCAGTGTAAGTGTGCATTTCGTTTGCACAAATCATTTTTTTGACTCCTTGTGATACACTAGAGGTTTGCCGACTTCCTGAAGTACATTCTTGGTACTCCGCGTCTCGGGAGAGTATCAGGGGCCGTATCCTATCCTTCCCCCGGGTGGACGCGTCTCCACCGCTGGTCCTATTTTTTGGTTGGGACAAGGTTGCACTATTGGACCAGCCAACTCTGCGTTTCTAGACTCCAGACAGCGCAACGCCTCAGAGAGAAGAGTGCCACAGCAAGGGAGCGCAGCTGCAACATCATGCATTCGATGGCGGGTCCTATGACGTAACCGTATCTTCCCCAAGTGTAGTATAGAATCAGGCGACGTCTCCACCGGGAGAAGGGTGGACTACGGTCCCAGATTCACTGAAAGGATTAGATGTGTTCTGATTGAATGAGGTGGAGATTTTCAGTCTGACCATGAGTCGGGAAAGACAGCAGCGAAATCCACGTTATTTGATTTTCTGACTAGTTTGATTTCTGTTTTTACATGTAGTCTCTATGCATTTTGAAGTGTTCTTCTTTCAGACTCTCTTCCTGTGAATGCATATTTATGCTGGCTGGCGTATAAGTTTTACTCTGCCCCGGATGCTAGCAATTCCCGACGATTATTTTTTTATAGGTATGACTTTTCACCGTGCCATTTCTTGAGGTTTTCTTCTTCAAGGTTTTTTATTTGTAGCTTGCTCTACTTACCTTTGATAATGATTTTGATGGTAGTGAGCAATTATGGACGCAACGTCGAGCAGAAAGTGCCGCTACTGGAACGCGATTGACCGTTCAATAGTTTCTTTCAATGGCTCTATGAATCATTTTTGAATTCATACGGTCAGGATTCTTGCTCTGGTATATGCTTTTCGAAGTAGGTTTTATGTCAGATAGATTTAGATGTGAATGCTACGTTAGCATGAACTTCTGTATATTACAGTTTTTGCATTACACTTCGGTTCCTTCCCTTAAATGTCCCATACTTTTGTGCTCATAGTTAACTTAGGCTTGCGCAAATCTTGATGTCTCAAACTAGATTGATATTCGATGTTGTTATCACGGGTACTACAGCCATATTTATTTATAAATATTGTTTATGGTACTGCTTATTATTTTTATCGAGGAAAGTTGTTCACCGCTAAATATTGCTATAGAAAAAGATGAGATAAGCTTGATTAGGGAGATTTCCTCGAGTCCAACGGAGTTGTGCTACTTTTACGCAGAATGGGTTCTGTTTTCAAGTTAGCATTTAGAGTTTCGCTTATTTTCGGGCAATCCTCAACAGCGTCGACTCTAATGTGGAGAAATTCGTGAATCCTTTTTCGCTCAAAGGCTCGCACATAACATACTTGTATGGAATTCTCAGATCAAGTGGTTCTCAGATCAATTATTTAAGACACTCACGACGACACACGTTTCCCATTCCTTGGTCGCGTGAGAGCGCGATTTCGGGAGCGTCGCCACCTCACGCCAAATCCATGGAGTTGGTGTGGTAAATGAACAAAAACATGAAAATCAGGTGAAACTCGGGTTCGGGGGGGGGCACGCGATGGCGCGGCGCTGTTTTCGTCTGCTCTACCAAGGCTTAGTCACCGATGGCGCGTATTTTGAAACTGCCACATAATGGCGAAAGAGTAACTGTCCCTGTGGACTAAGCCTTGGAGGAGCAGACAAAAGGCCGATGTCAGACTTTGCGAATCGCGCGATTCGCTAGCGTCCGCGGCGTCGCGGTCGCGTTGCGGTACCAGCCAATTGAGTGATTCACTGGCCGCGACGCGACCGCAGACGCTAGCGAATCGCGCGATTCGCAAAGTCTGACATCGGCCTAACAGAGCGCCGCGCCATCGCGTGCCCCCTCCCCCTCGAACCCGAGTTTCACCGAAAATCACAAATTTTATTAGCGATGGCCAATGCGCAAAAGTGATAAGGGAGTATTGTGATGGAATTTCGATTAGAAAGACTCATAATTGTGGCATTTTCATCAAATTCGAAAAATAATACGTCATCATAAACTAGAAGATTTGCTCTATCAAACGGTTACTAAAACTGCTTCAATACGTCCAGTATTTAAAAAATGGCCACGTTGAGGATTTTTGCCCGAGTACCGCCGAAAGGTACTTTTTCGCTGCATTGGCACTATTTCAACGACTATAGCTCCTTTCAGGGGCGATTACGTACAAAAGTGGGAGCAGATTCGGAATCCACGTGCTTTTTTCTTTCCAACAAGTGTAAAATTGTTCGACGAATCTCAACTTCAACACTTATATGTTCATGAATTTGACGCTGAAGCTGCATTTCTTGTTGAATAGTGGACTCCTCCCTGTTTCACACCACCCTTTCAGAATCCTCTTGATTTTCCTGAATTGAGATTCTTTCTCCAGAGAGCCGTAGTTGAAGCGCGCGCAACCAACTGGGCCCACTCTGGGATGCGCCGTGTGCTTCACATCCCTTCAGATTCGAGGACTCACTTGAAAGATAAAATATCCCTTGGAAAACGTGCGAATTTCAGATTCTTTAACTTGTGTGGTGATAAAACACTGAAGTAACTAAGAATTGCTAAGCGGACACCTCAGAATCACGAAAATTTTGTGTGGGCGGAATATCATTATTGGAAATCCTCTGGCCTGGCATCGACTCGATCCTTGATGTTTGTCCTCCGACGGTGATGATCCTACTGCATCAATCGGCCCGATCTCTTCCCCCAGCGGGCCAATACGACCCCCCCCCCCTGTGACGTGTCGAGGATTCCTCAACGCACGCTTGACCCTGGTGCTATCACTAAGTACTGGAGATCACAATAGAGTCCCCGCAAACTGGATTTTCATCTGTCACTCTTCTGTTAAGGTACGGGTGATAGTACTTCTTCTTCAGTATCCGGCTACCTTCCTCCGAAGTTACGATGGTGAGGATTCGGGTGAGCCGTCTAATCCGAACTCCTGAGCGCCTTCCATGCCTCATTCGCTATCCCATCTTGACCAACCGCTTTCCTGATTATACATTCCTTACTTCTTTACGAACCTCACCTTTGTTCAAACTGAACTGAAAGTAGGGACCAGCCGTCGCCTCTGCTGGTTTGTTGCCATGTCAGAGGAACTCCTGCTCTGAAAGTACACTATAGTACTCTTACTTGACTTCGGCAGTCTTTCGCAAGATGGTCTTGCTGCTGTGTTTACACTCCTTCACCACGCTGACGTCTTGAATAGCTCGGTGCTGAGTTTTAGCCATCTGTAGACGAAACTTCTCGCATTTCACCCCCTGTGGGACAAGAGCCTTTCCTGGACTGGTGTTCCTCTTTCCCTAATGTGCCCTCCTATATGCCACGCGGGTCTGAATGAACGGTACTGAACACAAGTACCACGAATATTTATTATAGAATACGAATAGGCTACGCCACGCACTCGTCTGTAGCTTCGCACTCAATCGCCGTGCTTGAGAGTCGCTCCTTTATTGATGGTGGACGGGGTCCTTATTGCGAGGCTCTCCTAGATTGGATGAGGAGTCGACGGCACAGTCCAAGCCTTGATCAGCGAACGGAGGCAAAAAACCATTGCTCACTCAGGCGCGGCTCTTTTATACGGTAGCGGATGACGGCGGCGTGGGCTCGGTATGTAATCATATCCTGTAAGCGCTCAAGATCAGCCAGAAGATAACAAATATGAAAATGAATTATTGATTGAATAGAAGTAAAAGATAAAAAATAAGCAAGTAAACTTCAAACCTTTAGTGGCGCTAGCTACACCCCCCCCCCACCCACACATTTACAAGGTGTCCATTTCAGTGTTCTTCGCCTTGGCGACAGCTCTTACAACCGTGTATACAGTGAGCTCCTCCGGGCTCCGTGACTTTCAGTAGTACTCAGTAGTACTCGAATCCTTCCTTCTCCGCTTCACGACTCGCTGGACCTTCCTCGTTCCAGAACCACGCTGCCTTGTCTCCTCTGATTCCACCTCGCGTCTCGCCCAGTACCTCCTTGGCGCATCGTAGGATGATCTCAGCCACGTTGCTTGAAGTTCGCTGTACTGGCCCGTCAGGGTCTGGTAGACCAAGTTCCATTACCTTTCGTTTGGGACGGGCTTGTGTTGCGGAGCCAATTCTTCGCCGGGGAGGACATGTCCTTCATAGTTCTGAGAAATAATTTTTTAACGAGCACATGATTGTTTTTCGTTTATCTCCCTCCACTGCTGTAGATTACTTTTCATAGCCTCCCTTTTCGCGAAGAACGTGCTGCAGAGTTGCCAGATCGTGGGCCGTAGCCAGGTCCAGAACCCTCTCTCCCTCGGCGTTCCTCACCTATCCCTCTACCTCCGTGCACCCTTTCCCGGCCTCTTCTGTCACTGCCGACGTGGCCATTCAGATCACCTGCTACGGTCAGGTACCTGCCTTCCGGAAAATATCTTATGCATCGCCAGGCTCAGCATAGTCGCCCTTCCCACTATTGGAGATTCGATCGTTCCTGTTCACAGTGAGACACAGCCCTTGAGCGACTCCGCTACCGCTATGGCCACGTCCGTTCCGCTTGGTGTCTTCTCCATTGTAGTAGAGTTTGACACCTTCCCCGATTTCCCCGCCTTTGCTCCTTGTTTAATATTCCTTTAATATTCCGCATCATCAGGATCGGCTACTTCAGGGCTTCCCAATTAGCGATCCTACGTTCAGAGTCCCAATTCGAACTAGCTTCTTTGGCCGAGGCCGTTCACTCCTCGGTAGCCCTCGCATACTGACCACAGAACTCGGGCGGGGGTTCTGCGCGCCACTTCCGGGTGACGTCCTAGCTTCACGCCCTCAGCTTCACTGATACTCTTGCGCCCGTAGGTATGGTTGTTGTGACTGGGGTCTTCATCAGCCAACCTGTCAACTTGCACTTTTAGTTTATACTAGAGCCACAGTTTCTACAGGGCATGGCTAAGTCTCAGCGGAATCGAACCCGCGGCTTTTAGAGGTGGGGACATGAGTCTACACTCTTGACCACTCGGCTGTACCTACCTTCGCTGTGAAGCTACGAAAAGTGCATAAGAATCGATCGAGAGAACAGCAGAATGGCGGATGCTTCCGCGTTCCAACTTATAGATATCCATGAAACCATTTTCGCCGATGCTCGGAGGTTCCCCTTATGCGTTCTCCTACGCATGAATTCTCGTGCTCGATAAGTGTGTAATAATGCTCAGAATTTTCCGGAGCTGGAAGCCATGACCAATGCCTTGAGCGGCGGCTTTTCAGAACCGACGTTGAATCGATGATGCGCTCTTTTTGTGAGTCGACTAGAATCTCAGGCTCGCTCTCGCCTGGGGCCGGATTCAATCCTCCCCCTGAAAATGAAGATACTATATCGTTAAAAACAAATTTAAAGGGGTTTTCGTCCCCAACTCCTTGGGGAAAAATTGAAGCTGGCCCCTGAAGAGCTGCTCATGACAAAAGTTCTCCACCGTTCAAGGTTTTGCCGCACAGTGAATGGCTCACTCATCTCACTCCATCTCCAACATGCCCCCCCTCCCCCAACTAAACCTGCGACTAGAACAGCTCTTTTGACCAAGAACTGCAGTTCTTGGAAGTAGTTTACAAACAGCGTGAGTCGAAAGTGCCAACCCAAACGGTAATGGCGATTGGAATAGGGTCAACCGTTACGCACGCACTTCTTCGAAAATTTTGCGACCCCCCCTCCCCCCTTTAACGGAGTCTCGGGCGACCTTATCAGTAATTCTCACTACTTTCGTAAAACTATCACCAAATTCGTCAAAAAAAGCCCGTCCAAACACAATCCCCTTCAATGACTTGCAGCCTGTCTGTCGGC